AATCATGATTTGATTGATTCATTTGATTTTAAATCATGATTCAAATGATTTGAAATAAAATCAAATGATTTGAATCATGATTCAAATAAATCAAATGATTTGAAATCAAATCAAATCAATTCAAATCAAATTCAATTGATTTGAATCATGATTTGAATTTGATTTTATTTGAATCATGATATGAAATTTGAAATTAATTTGAATCATGATTTGAAATCAAATTTGATTTATGATTTAAAATCATTGAATCATTGATTTGATTTCAAATCATTTGATTTCAAATCATGATTCATTTGATTTCAAATCATGATTCAAATCAAATCAAATCAAATCAATTTAAATGATTTGAAATAAAATCAAATTTGATTTGATTTGAATCATGATTTTAAATCATTGAATTGATTTGATTTGAATCATGATTTGAAATCATTGAATCATTGATTTGAATCATGATTTGAAATCTAATGAATCATGATTTGATTGATTCATTTGATTTCAAATCATGATTAAAATCAAATTCAAATGATTTGAAATAAAATCAAATGATTTGAATCATGATTCAAATCAATCAAATGATTTGAAATCAAATCAATTCAAATCAAATCAATTCAATTGATTTGAATCATGATTTGAAATCAAATTTGAATCATGATTCAAATGATCAAATCATGATTGAATGATTTGAAATCAAATTTGAATCATGATTCAAATCATTTGATTTTATTTCAAATCATTTGAATTGATTTGATTTGATTTGATTCATGATTCAATGATTTCAAATCATGATTCAAAATCATGAATCATGATTTGAAATCAAATGAATCAATCAAATGATTTGAAATCAAATCAATTCAAATCAAATTCAATTGATTTGAATCATGATTTGAATTTGATTTTATTTGAATCATGATTTGAAATCAAATGAATCATGATTTGATTGATTCATTTGATTTTAAATCATGATTCAAATCGAATTCAAATGATTTGAAATAAAATCAAATGATTTGAATCATGATTCAAATAAATCAAATGATTTGAAATCAAATCAATTCAAATCAAATTCAATTGATTTGAATCATGATTTGAATTTGATTTTATTTGAATCATGATATGAAATTTGAAATTAATTTGAATCATGATTTGAAATCAAATTTGATTTGATTTGAATTATGATTTAAAATCATTGAATCATTGATTTGATTTCAAATCATTTGATTTCAAATCATGATTCATTTGATTTCAAATCATGATTCAAATCAAATCAAATCAATTCAAATGATTTGAAATAAAATCAAATTTGATTTGATTTGAATCATGATTTGAAATCATTGAATTGATTTGATTTGAATCATGATTTGAAATCATTGATTTGATTTGATTGATCATGATTCATTTGATTGCAAATCATGATTCAAATCAAATCAAATCATGATTCAAATGAAATCAAATCAATTCAAATGATTTGAAATAAAATCAAATGATTTTTTAAGTTTTGAAAATTTGATATGACGTTCATCACATCGATATAAAAAACTTTTCTTCTACCACTTTTGGAAAAACTCGCTAGTTTAGCGGGAAAACAGCTATAAATAGCTAAAATTTGGAAAGCCGTAACTTCTATACTACTAAAGCTACAGACTTGTGCTGCATCTCGTTTGAAAGGTATTTTGAAATGCTATAAACGCCTTCTATATGCAATTTGTGTAAATGTAATAGTTAAAAAAATATGAACAAAAGACAATTTTTTAAACCTTTTTTTTTAGCTTTTTTTATTTTTCTCAAAAACGGCTCTAACGATTTTCTTTAAAACCTTAAACTGTGTAGCCCTTGAGATTCCTTAAATTTTGGTATATAACACATTACTGTAAAAAGTCACGTTTAAAAGTTATTTTTATACGAAAATAGCCACTGTTGCCAGCTCGAACAATTAACGCTCCCTGAGTATTGAATTTTGTGGGAGGGTATCCGAACTGTATTTTAGGGTCATGGAATCAGTAAATTTGCACTTAAGACTTCCATATAGGAATCTTTTGTTCTACGACTTTTGGAAAAAGCCGCTACTTTAGCGGGAAAAAGCTAAAAATAGCTAAATTTCGTTAGTTTGTAAGTTCTACACTACTAAAGGTACCGACATGTGCTATACCTCGTTTAAAAGGTATTTTGAAATACTTAAACGCCTTTTTAACTTAATTTGTTTAAATACAATGGCTTACAAATTATGATTGACCAATTTAAATTTAAATGTATATATTAGCTCCTATGAGAGCAAATGTAAACAAACAAAAACTTCTGATATCAAATAAAAACACCTCTTAACGAGGTAAAAAACTAGTGACGATCGCACCTTCAACATACAAAAGTTCTGATATCAACATTTGTGACGAAAAATTATTACACTCGTCATTAAATAGACTTTCTAATATTTTTTTATTCGGCCCGCCCTAGCAGACTATTCCAGCCTTTTTCCCTTCACAGGCATTTTCTATTGCAGCGTGCCGAATAAAAAAATATTAGAAAGTCTATTTAATGACGAGTGTAATAATTTTTCGTCACAAATGTTGATATCAGAACTTTTGTATGTTGAAGGTGCGATCGTCACTAGTTTTTTACCTCGTTAAGAGGTGTTTTTATTTGATATCATATAGCTGCCATAGGAACGATCGGAAAATTAATGAGAAATATTAGAAAATTGAACATTTTTGCGATTTGTTAATTAATAGGAATGATCCGCAAGGGTGTATAAGCTTCGGCTGGCCGAAGCTAGCTTCCTTTCTTGTTTTGTATAGAAATTGTTGTTGCAACTGCCTTACACTTTTACACTTTACAACGTTTGCAACGCAATTGAACACCCTAAATGAAAGCTATTTGACTTTATCTTGTTATTCACAGATGAGTCTCTGCTTTACATCAGAAATGGTCACCGATTGCGTTTTGGGCCTGAGTGCAGAGAGCTTTTCAGACAAGCCCACCCCTATTATGTCGAAAATCAAGGACCTCTTCAACCAGCCTTGGACCATAGTGTTTTTCTTTGTGCTGACCAGTACCTTTCCATCGTTAAGCCACTTGATTAAAGTGCGATTCATCCCGCTCCAAGTGGAACGCTTCTTCGTAGACTTGATGGGCAGTGCTGTGAAGGCCCGTCGTGCCCAACTGGCGGGTGAAAAGCAATTCGAGCGGTCCGACTTCTTGGACTACATCCTGCAGCTTGGGCAGAAGCGTAACCTGGACAACCGCCAGTTACTTGCATACTCCATGACCTTTTTGCTGGACGGATTCGAAACGACGGCCACGGTTCTGGCCCACATGCTCCTCAACCTGGGACGCAATGCCCGGGCACAGGAGCTACTGCGTCAGGAGATCCTCTCCCATCTCGAGAATGGCATCATCAACTTTGAGAAGCTTAACGATTTGCCTTACTTGGATGCTTGTCTACAGGGTGAGTTGAACATTTTTTATTTTTAAGTTAATGTTGTCAAATATGTTTACCTCCGAAATTGCAGAAACTATCCGCCTCTTCCCACCCGGATTTATGTCCAATAAACTGTGCACCGAATCCATCGAGATTCCCAACAAGGATGGCCCCAACTTCGTGGTGGAGAAGGGAACCACTGTTGTGGTACCACACTATTGCTTCATGGTGGATGAAGACTTCTTCCCGGATCCTCAATCCTTCCAGCCAGAACGTTTCATGGAGCCCGATGCAGCCAAAACATTCAGGGAAAAGGGTGTCTTCATGGGATTCGGAGATGGACCACGTGTATGGATTGGTATGTATATACTATGAAATTAAGCTCGGGTATCTTTTTAATGAATCCTAAATAGATATTTTAATAATGTAAACGAAATTAGTTTACTTTAATATTAATTTTCTTTCTTTTTATTTAGGAATGCGATTTGCCACAGCGCAGATTAAGGCAGCCATTGTAGAACTGATCTCAAAGTTTATTGTCAAGATCAATCCCAAAACCCGGCAAGACAATGAGTTCGACCCTGTCCAATTCCTCATTACTCTGCGAGGCGGCATTTGGTTAGACTTGGAAAAACTTTAGAGAATTAAGGTAACCTTCATTGCCCTAAGAGAGTGACGAAATAAACGCCCTACGTACAAGTAGTACGTGTGTTAAAATCTTGTTACTGCAAGATAAAAGAAACTAGTGACAATCGCACATTCAAAAATTAAAAAACGAAAAAAATGCTGGACCAGCGCAGACACAGTTTGGTTATTAAATTGCTGTTCCTTGTGTACAAATTTAGAAAATATTTACCTCCCCTCTGGGAAGCAACTCTCCTTAATTTGCGCCGTATTATGTAGCGGTTTAATAAAACCACAATTTATTAAATGTTCCAAAAACTGAAAACTTTTTTCTTTGTAGGTACAGCTGCACTGAGGTTTACCCCTTTGTTGAATTTTAAAAAGGGTGCCCGAGCTAGAAGGTCGACGATTGGCCAGCTTAAAATTAAAAATTATGTTATCATCTTCTATTATTGTCATTTTTTTGTAAGGAAAGGATAAAATCAATTTTTTTTTAGAAAGTCCTGGTGGCAGCTATATAATAAAGGCATCCATTAATTTTTAAATCCTAAATATTAAAAAAAAATGCTATGCCACTGAAAACAAAATATGTATAAATCCAAAGAAGCAATAATTTTTAAATTTTATTCATTTCACATACCCAAATTTTGTTCGTTTAAAATTTAAGCAATTGAATTTTTCTATGTGTAGTTTGGTGAATTTCATATTAACTCACCGGGTTGCAACAGCAATTTTTTTATTAACAACATCGTAAATAAATAATAATAGCTTGATATGAAGATTGACCGCCTGCAATAATGATTAGCTCTTATCAATAATATGTAAGTACCCGACGTATGTTTTTGAGTAGTTGGCTCTCTAAGTATCGCTTGTTTCACGAAGAGCCAGGTATCTCTCTAAGCAGCCCAGTTGATAATCTCTCCCGGGCCTGAGTATCGAATCCAATGAGCGACTACAAATAGAGCACAATTTCTGGTCCCGCCGCAAACGCTACACGGAGCTCTTCGCGTTTGGAAGCACATTTTAACGCTGCGGAGAATGGTTCTGATTACTTTGACCCTGGTTGCGTTGGCTGTGGGCCTGCTGTATGCTGTTCTGATATGGAACTACGATCACTGGCGAAAGCGGGGAGTGCCGGGTCCCAAGCCCCAGCTTTTATGCGGCAACTACCCCAACATGTTTACCATGAAGCGACATCTCATCTACGATCTGAACGACATCTACAAGTGAGTTTTCCATAAGGTCTCTTAAAATAGTTATTAAATTCTATTAATCAAATTTGATTTTTGGGAAAATGCTAGTACTAAATCTTAATATATTTTGTATCATACCGGTATTTTTTCATCGTTAATAACATACAATATAGCTCGATAATTTTTTAATTCATTAATTAATTTTTTAGGAAGTATAAGCACAAGTACGATGCTGTGGGCATTTTTGGCTCCCGCTCTCCACAACTGCTGGTTGTCAATCCGGAGTTGGCCCGGCGAGTATTCGTATCCAACTTCAAGAACTTCCATGACAACGAGATTGCCAAGAACATTGATGAAAAAACCGACTTTATTTTTGCCAATAATCCGTTCTCGCTTACTGGCGAAAAGTGGAAGAACAGGCGGGCAGACGTGACTCCTGGTCTAACAATGGGACGGGTAAGAGGCAGTGCATTTAAAGGCAAGCCTATAAACCCTTGCTAACGAATCGATGAATCTTAAATATTCGCAGATTAAGACCGTATATCCGGTGACGAACAAGGTGTGCCATCAGTTAAGCGGGTGGGTGGAAAAGCAAATACGTCTCGGTTCACCCGATGGTATCGATGCAAAGCATGTAAGTTTATAACGTATAATAATAATTATATTATAGAATTAAACCAGTTTCGTATTACCTTGCCATCTACAGATGAGTCTCTGCTTTACAACAGAAATGGTCACCGATTGTGTTTTGGGGCTGGGCGCCGAAAGCTTTACAGAGAAGCCCACTCCCATTATGTCGAGTATCAAGGACCTGTTCAACCAGCCTTGGACCTTTGTGATCTTCTTTGTGCTGACCAGTAGCTTTCCATCGTTGAGCCGCCTGATTAAACTGCGATTCGTACCGCTCAAAGTGGAACGCTTTTTCGTCGACCTGATGGGCAGTGCTGTGAAGGCACGTCGCGCCCAATTGGCGGGTGGAAAGCAGTTCGAGCGGTCCGACTTCCTGGACTACATCCTGCAGCTGGGGGAGAAGCGCCAGCTGGACAACCGTCAGTTACTTGCCTACTCCATGACCTTCTTGCTGGACGGATTCGAAACGACGGCCACTGTTCTGGCCCACATGCTCCTCAACCTGGGACGCAATGCCCGGGCACAGGAGCTTCTACGTCAGGAGATTCGCTCCCATCTCGAAGATGGCATCATTAACTTTGAGAAGCTTAACGATTTGCCTTACTTGGATGCTTGTCTGCAGGGTGAGTTTAGGGTATATAAGGCTATAGGTTATGTTGCTAAATTTACCTCATAAATTTGCAGAAACCATCCGTTTATTCCCACCCGGATTTATGTCCAATAAACTCTGCACTGAATCCATCGAGATTCCCAACAAGGATGGCCCCAGCTTCGTGGTAGAGAAGGGAACCACTGTTGTGGTACCTCACTATTGCTTCATGTTGGACGAAGACTTCTTCCCGGATCCTCAGTCATTCCAGCCAGAACGATTCATGGAGCCTGATGCGGCCAAAACTTTCAGGGAAAAGGGTGTCTTCATGGGATTCGGAGATGGTCCACGCGTTTGCATTGGTATGTATATTTTTTGAGTTTAAGGATTTTTAAATACTTTTCTTAAGACTCAAGTATACTATAAATTCTAAGACAGAAGAAAAACATTATTAGTCAAAATTAGATAGATTTATTCGGTAATCTATCTAAAACTAATCATATTAAAAATAATTAAAATAGTTTTTTAATTTTAATAAAATTATTTTTATCTTTTTTCAGGAATGCGATTTGCCACAGCTCAGATAAAGGCAGCCATTGTGGAACTGATCTCAAAATTCAATGTCAAGATCAATGCCAAAACCCGCAAAGACAATGACTACGACCCTGGTCAAATCATCACCGGTCTGCGTGGCGGCATTTGGTTAGACCTTGAAAAACTGTAGAGATTCAATTGATCCATAACCCTCCCCCTGAGAGCGACGAAATAATTGAACTTTATGCGTTGCGCAAGCTTTCCAGTCTATGTTATGCATATATTCTGCCAGAGAGATAGTTAAGCTTGCAATAGCTTTGACTTTGTTATTGTTTTTGTGAATACAATTTGTTTTCCCTATAAAATATATTTTTATAAACACTAAAAGTTGTTATTTCAATCAAATTATTTTTATTGGTTTAATGTGGTCTAAAAAATAAAAATGGATTGAAATGAATAAGTTATTCTATATGGAAAAGAACTCTACAGTAATTACACTGGACAACAAATTGAATTTTTTTAAATGGTGCATACTTAGTTATAAATAATACACATCATAACATTAAATTTTATACGTTCAAAAAACACGTTTTTACAGTTCAGTAAACATTTTGATAATTTTATTTATTTTTAAATATTTAAGATGACATAAATGACCTTTACAACGAAACAACCTTTTCAACGAAGCTGCTTTTGCACTTATTGACTATCCTTAAAACTTTTACATTAATACAATTTGTTGTATCAAAATATATCGAGTTTTTGCAACAAGGCCTCTGTTTTCCATAGCATTAAGCCCAATTAAAAGTGGACAGGCTTAAATTAATTTTAAATGGAACGATAACAAAAATATAAGGTAATGTTAAGGATCTCAATGTGAGTGGACTGCACTTGGACTCGTATCGCAATCTCCGGGGCTATTGTTCTCCCTGCGTTTGGGTTCATTAAACACATACGAGTAGAACGCATGGGTATCTGTCCCAGAAGAAAGGCGATAGAGAGAGGAAAATAATACGTTTAAATGATAAGAGCTCGAGTCTGTGTTACTTGTCCATTGAATCCATGGGAAGCCAATTGGGTGATCATTTGTCAAGCCTAACTTAAAGTGAACAGTTGATCGAAGTCGTTTAGTCGGGAATTATTTTCAGATTTAAATCTAAATATGTTGATTCTTATGTTGGTTTTATTGACCGCCCTGCAGGCTCAGGCCTGTGTTAATCGAGTTCCGTAAGTAGAAATCTTCGGGATTTAATTGTATTAATTGTAATTTAATTGGATCTGATGTGAAATTTAAGTGTGGTCAAAATGCGTGGAACTCTGGTAACAATGCGTAAACACCAAAATTATGCCAACTGCACTACAAACTGTGGCCCCTTGGTGGGGAGAACCAGAACTGAGGTGAGACAGTCTGTAATATTCCAGAAACATAGCAAAGAGTCAATTAGATAAGCTTATAAAGTGAGATATTTAAAGTAAGAGAGAGAACTGTTAAAATATAATTTCAGGATGTATAGCAAAAATTCTAGTAGTACCTGTATAAAAAATATATTTGAGTTTTATTTATTTTAATTTAAAATTTGTATTAGGGAACATTTATTAAATGGTTTAATCTTTAACATGGTGTTATTATTAAAAATACAAAATAATCATATTTAAAACTCAAAAAAAAAACATTGCAATACAAATTTAATTTTTATTTATCTTGAAATTAAGATAAGGCATTGTAATTTCTTCTTTTTCCCCCTAGACTTACATGGGATTCCATGATGTTTGCTGTGATGGCTACATACGCAATGAGGAGAAGTAAGGATCTTAAGTGGCAAAATAATGAAAAACCTCCAAGTTCCCATTTCTTTTCCCCCCGTTTTTCCAGTGAGTGTGTGCCGCAGTGCAAGGATTGTGGACTCGGTGGAAAGTGCCTGTCGCCGAATGTGTGTTTGTGTGAGAAGGGCTTCTCGAATCGTCAGGATCGCAGTCACTGTGAGCCGGAGTGCAGCGACCCCTGCGTGAACGGAAACTGCGTGGGTCCGGATGAGTGTGAGTGCCTTGCGGGCTACCGCTTCTATAATGGCTCCCAGAAGGAATGTGAGCCTATGTGCAAGGAGGACTGTGTGAATGGTCGGTGCCTGGAGACGGGGAAGTGCCAGTGCAACAACGGCTATCAGCGGGACGAGAAGCTGAGCAAGTGTGTGCCCATCTGCCAGGATGTCTGCTATCACGGCGAGTGTGTGGCGCCCAACGAGTGCCGCTGCAATCCCGGCCACGAGCAACGACTGGGGCAACCCTGGATCTGCGATCCGATCTGCTCCAGCGGCTGCGCCAATGGCAACTGCATAGACGCCGAGCAGTGCTACTGCAAGGCGGGCTATGCCCACAAGGACAGCACCCTCGCCTCGGGCTGTGAGCCAGTGTGCAATCCCGCCTGCGTGAACGGCACCTGCATCTCGCCGGGTCACTGCGCCTGCTCCGAGGGCCACGTCTTCGCCGAGGGCTCGCGCCACGAGTGTGTGCCCTCCTGCCGTTCTGGCTGCGAAAACGGCTTCTGCAGTGCTCCCGGTCGCTGTGAATGCCACGAGGGCTTCGAGAAGCTCTCGCCGCACCGCTGCTCGCCGACCTGTCAACCGGCCTGTGGCCGCAACTCCCGCTGTTCCGCTCCGGACACCTGTGCCTGCGACGCCGGCTACGTCTTCGTCAACGGCAGCTCCACCGAGTGCGAGCCCTTCTGCCCCAGGAACTGCCGCAACGGCATCTGCAGCAGTCCCGGCGTTTGTACCTGCTTGGACGGGTATCAGGTGGGCAGTGAAATAATCCTACTAATTAATGTATCAGAGAGAATGTTCTTTATCACCCCAAGTATTTTTGGTAAATTTTCAAAATGATACGTTTTTTAACTTTTTAAATTTTAACATCAGTTTTATTCTTTAAAGTCAAATTGTTATGATTTTATAACATTTCTTATACAAGATTTTTCCAAAAGAAAAATTTCCTGTTAAAGCTTAGTTTTATAATTTGCGATATTAGAAAATTCAATGATGTGATATTTTTATGGTTATCAAAGAATTCATAACACTATTTAAACTAACTTAACACTTAAAAAAAATAAGCTGTTCCTAAAAGAAAATTGTATTTTAAGAGAGGCTTGGCTTTCTAATTTTTGATACTACACACAAAAAAAAAACTTAGTAAAATCAACTGTAATAATTGTCAAACAGGCCCCAACCAGCAAAATTGTCAATTCTACTAAGTAAATAGTCATTTCACAACAACAAAATACACACAATTAGCAAAGACACAAACCCAAAGCAAAAACAAAATACACGTAACTATTTTAATAGTTACGTAACTATCTTTGTTGGTCAATTTTACCAAGCAAATTTTTTTGTGTGTAGGAATGAGATCACGTTATACTGGTATTGCTACCAAATTATTTATATTAATTTAAAATGACTACTTCCTGAACAAAATCATACCATACAATTTGAAAATATGTTTATTTTTTAGTTAATCAGGAAATTTAATTTACTTTTCTTTATTCTCAGTAAATTGATTCTATTTTATATAACCTTCCTCCAGGCTCTCCTCTCGTTCTACTGCATCCCTGTGTGCACAAAGTCCTGCATCCACGGCAGCTGCGTGGCGCCCAACGAGTGTCGCTGCTTCACCGGCTACCGACCGAGTTCCACCCAGGGAACAAGTGTCTGCGAACCGATTTGCAGCCAGGATTGTGGTCACGGTCGCTGCATCGCCCCCGAGATTTGCCAGTGCGACGTGGGCTACGCGAAGCGGTGGCCCCGCGGCTCCTGTGAGCCCCACTGCCCCCAGAAGTGCATCAATAGTCACTGCGAGGGATCGGGACTGTGTCGCTGCTACGAGGGCTACAAGCTGCGAGCGGGATCCAACTCCATCTGTGATCCGGAGTGCACGCCGGGCTGCAGAAACGGCACCTGTGTGGAGCCCAACAGCTGTGCCTGCTTCACGGGCTACGAGGACACCAAGCTGCCGTACGAGTGTACGCCCACCTGTCGTCCCAGGTGCGAGAATGGTCGCTGCTCCGCCCCGGGCCAGTGTGAGTGTAATCCCGGTCATGCGGTCACTAATTCCAGTGATCCGAACTCGTGTCGACCCCTGTGCCAAGAGCAGTGCATCAATGCCGAGTGCCTGTCGCCGGAAAAGTGCGTCTGCCTGCCGGGCTACCGATTTTTGGCTGGCAGCAGCACCGAATGCGAACCGATTTGCTCCAAGGGCTGCCGTTCTGGCCAGGAATGTGTTGCTCCCGACACCTGCGAGGGAGCCGACTCACTGATTAGCCCCACCACCGGCCGACACCTGATCTTCCACTGGTCCATGTTCATCCTGGCCATCCTGCTCTGCCTGGCCCTGGTGATGGTTCCCCTGCTGGTGCTCAGGGAGCTGCAACGACGTCGTCGTGGAGGCGACAAGCAGAGGAGCCACCTCATCGAGAACCCCACCTACGGAGTTGTCCAGGCCAACACCGAGGAGGCTGACAACGAGCTGGCCATCGGTCTGGGGGATTAACTTGTATGATTTCATGAATTTATAGATTTCCTGTATTTTATAGTTTCTTCATATTCTTAATAGATTTTTACATTTTGCTAGAGAAACATTTTGTAAATCAAAACACCAATTTTGTTTCTTGTATGTGGAAATAGTTTATTTTGAATGTTTATGGCTTGGTTTCGTTTACAATCGTTTCCTTCGATTAATTTCTACACCGAAGGATGCTTGGCATCGTCGTAAATAATACACACATATATAAATATATATATATATTTATGCTAAACATTTATGGTTAAAAGTTAATAACGTAAACTACCGTAATAAATTATGAAATACATAATACTCTTTGTCTACTTCTGCCAGTTTCTCAAGCTGTTGGTAAGGTATATATTTTTTCTTTAAATTGCATTTTAATATTATAAACAAATTGTTAAAACTTGCAAGGGAATTTCGAAGAATATTTAAAAAGGTGTTAACAAAAATAAAATCTTACAACTGGAATTAACTTAAACATTGGGGATGAATCCAACAACAGTTGAAGAAACTGGACTTGTGACATATCCTTTAAACGTTGTTATCCTTTGGGGTAATTTTTCAACTTACAAATGATTCAAGCGGATATTGATCTTCGGCGTGATCTAACTTAACAAATTGGCTACTTAATGCTACATATATATTTTTCATTTTCGATGCCTAAAGCGGATTTTTGTTTATTTTGTGTCTTTACTAGCCTAAGTGCCAAATTCTTCGTCCTGCCCTCGTCCCTTCATTACCTCCCCACCCCGCCCCGTATACGATCTATGAACACAGTCAGCTTTTGTCCTGTTCCCTTGACTCTTACAGAAAGGTCTCCCGGTTGACTCCACCCATTCCGATTCCCAATCCCCGCCAGCTCCAGTCCCACCATCATGGTGGTGCGTCGTTGGGATCGGGTGGTGGCTTCGCCGGCTGCAGCACCACCGGTGGTGGTGAGGTGCTGGTGGCAGTGATGTCGGTGGTGGGCGCAATGAGGAAGCCACTGGATGCTCCGGGAAGTGGCATGCCCAGAAAACCGGCTGCTCCCGTGTTGGCCGAGTCGCCGTCCTCCATGATGACCGAACTGTCGGCGGCCGAGGGAATGGTGGGCAGGAATCGCACTCCCAGGCGAGGTGGCGACGAGTCCTCTTCCTCCTGCACCGCTTCCTGGCGGACCAGTCTGGGTTTCACTGCATCCAACTGGGCCTTGCCGTTGTGGGCTGGAAAAGGATAAATAAAATATAAAATTAAATGCATTTTAAGTGGAATTCAATTAAAGATATGATTTATTTCATTGATTTTAATATTGATTCGATATTATAAGTACTTTAAAAATAGTTAATTCCATTAAAACTGCATATAAATACAAATTCGACTAACCTATCGATATTTATAAATCATTTTCTGACTTTAAAAAAAAAGATGAAATGAAATAATAAATAAAACATTTTTTTCTAAGATAAAATCAGATCTTAAAATAGTTTTTCTCCCTAGCTCAATAAAAACTGTAAGAGATCTCTCATGAAAATATAAATAACAATAGAGAACGCTATAGTCGGGTGCCCCGACTATCAGATACCCGTTACTCAGCTAAAGGGAGAGCGAAGGAGATGGAGATAATTGGCTTAACTCGTGGGTTAAACTTTGATCCGCCGTAACTTTTTAACGAATAGTCCGATTTAAAAACTTTCTTCTACATTTCGATAGGTATTGATAAACACAATAAAACTGCATTTTTACTTTTCCGAAATATTGAAATTTTTAAAATCGTATCTAAGCGATTATGGGCGTTAGAGGGGGCGTGGCACCCTTTTGAAACAAACTTGCGCTGCGTAGGAACTCCTAGAATCTGCATGCAAAATGTCAACCTTCTAGCTTTTATAGTTTCCGAGATCTCAGCGTTCATACAGACAGACAGACGGACAGACAGACGGACAGACGGACAGACGGACAGACGGACATGGCTAGATCGACTCGGCTAGTGATCCTGATCAAGAATATATATAGTTTATAGGGTCGGAAACGCTTCCTTCTACCTGTTACATACTTTTGCACGAATCTAATATACCCTTTTACTCTACGAGTAACGGGTATAAAAATGGTATAATTTATTTATTATGATTTTACATATCATGAAAAATCATTGAAAGTGTTAATCCTATGAGATTGACTTACCAATGATCGAAGGCAGAGGAGTGCTACTGCCAGCACTCGATCGGGAAAGCCGGAAAGTGGAGGTGCTGGCGGTGGTGGCCGAGGCGGAGGAGTCGTTCCTTGAGCTGGACAGGTTCGAGTCCTGCGACGTCTTGCGGGTGATTAGCCAGGCGGAGTGGCGCCGCCTTCCGTGGCCATGTTGGTGGCCGTGGGGCTCCAGCATCTTCAGCGGCATTGCGCATGAGCCCGGCGCCAAGGGAGCCGAAGAGGGTGGACCATGCCGCCAGCTGGAGGATCGAGAGCTGCAGAAGTTCTCGCTGGAAATGGAGCTGGCTCGATTCTGCCGCTGCTGCTGTCTCAGTTCCGCAAACTGATACTGATACGGATTGGCAGCTGCGGCGGTATAGGCCCTCTGGCGACGCTGTTGCGGCTGCCGTCGCTGCTTTCTACGCCTCCTACTCTCGCCGCAGCAGAAGGTCCTCAGGCGGTGCCACAAACTCGGCGTCTGCTCCATCTTATGCCAGTTGGGCATCTCGCTGGGCAGCATCCGGAGGCAACGACAACCGGGTGGATGGGCCACGGCTGCCGCAGGCAACAGGGTTGGCGGCAGTTCACCACCTCTCTTGGTGCGCCCCACTGCACCACCACCCCCACCTCGTCCACCCTGACCACCCACTACGCGTGCCTCCTCGAAATGCTTGCATAAGGTCACACAGTCCTTCTTAAACTGCTTGGTCATGATGGCATAGAGAAAGGGATTGCAACAGCTATTCAGGGGCAGCACGAAAACCGTGAAGATCTTGGCCTGTTCCAGAGAAATCAACTGCAGACCAAAGATGGCCGTGATGGAGAAGAAGGCGATGGGTGACCAGCAGAGGAAGTCCGTAAAGACCAGCAGGGCCATCCGCTTGGCAATGCGCGAATCATTCGTATTCCACGCCTGGCTGCCCCTGATGGCCCAGTACATCTTGAGGTAGCAGCCCATGAGTGTGAGGAAAGCACACCCATTGATGAACATCAGCGAGATCACATAGGTCAAGCTCGCCGGACCCGTCGTGGTCTCAAAGGGCAGGCAAACGGCGAACTTCCGGTAGTCCGAGACTCCCAACAGAGGCATCAATGCCATGAGGAGGGCAAAGACCCAACCCACACTCATTATGTAGCCCGCCTGGCGCAGCGAGAGCCTCTTGTTCAGGTGAATGGCATGGGTGATGGCATAGTTGCGCTCCAGCGTGATCACCGCCAGTGTGTAGACCGACAGCTCGGAGCTGAGGACGGCGAGGAAACCGGACAGCTGGCAGAGCAGGGACATCTGCCACGGAATGGCGAACATCCGGAACTCGCCCAGCGTCGCTGCATCCACAATGGCCAGGATGCCCAGGTAGATGCCCATGAAGAAGTCCGCCGCGGCCAGATTGCAGACCAGGAAGCGCGGCACATCCATCTTGGAGCGCGAGCAGAGGAGCACAAAGACCACGGTGCCGTTGCCAAGAAGTGACAAAAGGAAAACCACCCAGACGCCGCAGCGCAGGGTCCACCAGTCGAAGAGATCGGCGCAGGGCAGAAAGGGTCCCGGCATCGGCAGGCACTGAACCGCACCCGGCTGAAAGTCCTCGGCGGTCATGCCGGAGAAGAGGCCCGTTCCGAAGCCATAGCCCGTGGCCGGACCACTCACCTCGTGCTCCTCGAAGTACTCTTCCATGTAGCTGGTGGCGATCTGGCCGCCCGTCTGCGACTGCAGCTGCTCCTCGTTGAAGTTGGCCGCCGCCTCCCAGGGATCCTGCATGGCGGCACCCAGCTGCTTGCTGAGATTGTCTGCAGGGGAAAATATAATTTTGGTTAATTCATGTTTACATTTTACATAAATTAAGATACTTTAGATACAGGATTATTTCTAAATCTAGAGCTAATTTTAAAAATAAACCTTTTGAGGACTAAAGCATAAATTAAAAAATCCAGCAAAGTTTAGCTTATGAGGTTTCTCAAGTAGTGATACATTTTGTAGAATGTTTCTGATATGGAATCCATATTATGGATACACAGAAAAATCTTTAACAAAATATGAGGTCGATATGTATAGGAAAATTAAATATTTTTTAAAGATCAATGTATTAATATGATTTTGTTATTTTTTAAAGATCAATGTATTAATATGATTTTGTTATGAAAGAAGATTATATTTATCTTATTTTACGTTGTTTAAAAAAAAATTTATCAAAATAGAAATAACTGACTTGATAAAATATTGAATAGATTAGTTTGAGTTATAAACTTTAAATTAATCAATAAGGTAGAATTTACCCGTATATCAAATTTGTTTTCTGTGCATTACTGATCGCTGATTAAGCTATCTTTAAGGCTTCTCTCTATACTCACGCATTTGTGGCCAGATATTCATCATGCTGTTGTTCCACAAAGTCATATCGAACTCCGCGTCGGAGGGAAAGAGCACAGCCTCTTGGACCTGGGAGGTTTTCTTTTGCGACGACATGGCCACCAGTGGCAGAAAAGCGCAGCAGTGGTAGGCATACGAGAGTATGAGCGTTTGGATCCGTGGAAAGGTGTCGGGTGGCGGAAATTCCCTTAGCTTTGGATTATTAAAGGTCTTTAGGTGGAGCAGAGCACGCAGTCCCGATTCGGGGAGCTCGGGAAAAATGTTGTTGCCCAAATTGAGATCCTCGAGGGCTGTGAAGCCAGCGAAGGCCTCCTTGTGTATGTGCGAGATCTCGTTACCCTCCAGGTCACTGTGTAAAGAAGATGTAAGCCTTAGTGGTCTATAAAAAATTAAATTAAATTAAAGATGAACCCACAGCAGCTGGAGCTTGGGAATGCCCTGAAAGGCATCCTGGGGCAGCGCCTTGATGCGATTGTAGGAGAGCAACAGATCGTGCAACTGCTTGAGTCCGTTGAAGGGCTTTCCCTGAATCGTTTCAATTTGATTGCTCGATAGATCTCTGGGTTATAATAACACACTCGTTATATGGGGAAATATGTGCAAAAGTTTTGTACTCACAACAGCCTTAAGTCTCTGCAGCTACTTAAATTTGGGATGCGTTTAAGGGAATTGGTTTTAAGTTCTCTGTAAAGATAATGATTAAATCATTATGATATATTAAAGCAGGGGTGCATGAGCTCAAAGAACGCGGGTCACACGCCTATCTTGCATTAAGCACACGTCGATTCTTCTTTGCGCAGCTATCACTATGGACGGCAGTCCATGTAGTGACGAAGCGCACCAGGAGAGTGTGCGAAGGCGACTACTATATATACACGAAGAAATGAAAATCTACTGTGATGGTCCGATCATAATGAATGATACACCTATCGAAAGGTATTGCAAAAACTAACAGGATTGCATACCAAGACTCTAAGAAAATCAATTGGCTTGGGAGAGAGAGCGGTGAAAGTGAAAAAGTGAAAATTTCGAAATTTGGAGCTGTTGGGGCCGGTGGGGATAATTGCCCCCTCGCAATATTTTACTTGTATTCCTTTTGAAAATACCCGTCGAATGAGGGGTCGTTTGTCAAAATCCGACGCTCCGTTCAAAAGTTATAGCCAAAATAAGATTTTCTTCGTCTTCCCAAAATGAAAATTTAATTCTGTTTGTCAGTTTGTCAGTTTGTCAGTTTGTCAGTTTGTCAGTTTGTCCAAAACATGTTTTTTAAGTTTTGAAAATTTTATATGACGTTCATCACATCGATATAAAAAACTTTTGTTCTACCACTTTTGGAAAAACTCGCTAGTTTAGCGGGAAAACAGCTATAAATAGCTAAAAATCGGAAAGCCGTAACTTCTATACTACTAAAGCTACAGACTTGTGCTGCATCTCGTTTGAAAGGTATTTTTAAATGCTATAAACGCCTTCTATATGCAATTTGTGTAAATGTAATAATTAAAAAAATATGAACAAAAGACAATTTTTTAAAACTTTTTTTTTTAGCTTTTTTTTATTTTTCTCAAAAACGGCTCTAACGATTTTTTTAAAACCTTAAACTGTATAGCCCTTGAGATTCCTTAAATTTTGGTATATAACACATTACTGTAAAAAGTCACGTTTAAAAGTTATTTTTATACGAAAATAGCCACTTTTGCCAGCTCGAACAATTAACGCTCCCTGAGTATTGAATTTTGTGGGAGGGTATCCGAACTGTATTTTAGGGTCATGGAATCAGTAAATTTGCACTTAAGAGTTCCATATAGGAATCTTTTGTTCTACGACTTTTGGAAAAAGCCGCTACTTTAGCGGGAAAAAGCTAAAAATAGCTAAATTTCGTTAGTTTGTAAGTTCTACACTACTAAAGGTACAGACATGTGCTATACCTCGTTTAAAAGGTATTTTGAAATACTTCAACGCCTTTTTAACTTAATTTGTTAAAATACAATAGTTTAAAAATTATGATTGACCAATTTAAATTTAAATGTATATATTAGCTCCTATGAGAGCAAATGTAAACAAACAAAAACTTCTGATATCAAATAAAAACACCTCTTAACGAGGTAAAAAACTAGTGACGACCGCACCTTCAACATACAAAAGTTCTGATATCAACATTTGTGACGAAAAATTATTACACTCGTCATTAAATAGACTTTCTAATATTTTCTCATTCGGCACGCTGCCATAGAAAGTGCCTGTGAAGGGAAAAATGCTGGAATAGTTTGCTAGGGCGGGCCGAATGAGAAAATATTAGAAAGTCTATTTAATGACGAGTGTAATAATTTTTCGTCACAAATGTTGATATCAGAACTTTTGTATGTTGAAGGTGCGGTCGTCACTAGTTTTTTACCTCGTTAAGAGGTGTTTTTATTTGATTCGAATACACCTGTATTAAAGATACCTTATGTAGTACTATCTACTCACAAACTCTTCAGTCTTGGCGTTTGACGGCACAGATTCGTTGGCACCTCCTGAATGCCGGCACGATCCAGTTTCAGTATCTCCAGGGCATGACAGGCCTCCAGCTCAGGAAACGAGCGCAAAGTTCGCACATCCGATAAAATCCTGAAAAAATCAAGGAGTCCTTAGCATTTTTCCTGACACCTCGACCCGGAAAGATACTCACAGCTTCCGCAACTTGGTCATTCCCCGAAATGCCCCTGTCGAAATGGTCGACAGGGGATTGGCCCTCATGTCCAGCATTTGCATGCTCCTGGGCAGCTCAGTGTCGTTTATCCAACGCAGTCGATTGCTGGTGATGGAACTGGGGGGTGGGAATTTAATAAAAACGTTTATCCAATGCCAAGAAAAGTATCTTTCGGATACACACTGCTGAACTGCTGGCAAGTGGCACTCGGCTGCAGCTGCATTTAAAAGTCAAGTTTTGCAAACAAGCCAACAAAGCTAAAAATAAACTGTGACAAGAGCATACTTTTGGGCGCTCATATTGTTAACGCCATTCTGTGTTTCTTGGCCGACATTTTTGAGGAGAAAATGGAAACTCTGAAGTGCTGAGTAGAGTTCACCTCGAAAAGGAAGCCGCGTCATCAGCCACAAAAAGCTTATTCAATTTCCTGACACTTTTCTTAAATTTGTAAATCACACAAATTAAGTTCCATTTAGAATCTCTGCGAGTGGAAACATCTTTTTGTTTATCTCTTCTAGTTTGTTGCACCGACTTGGCTTGACTCCCATTCTTTTACGAGTGGAGTCAACAAAACGCAGACACTTACTTTTAATCCTTTTAAATTTGATTTTTTGTTTGTGCCATATCCAAGCTCCAATAGAAAACCGCACACACATGGAGGGTTTTCTTTTGATTTTTTTTTTCCCATACAGTCGTACGAATTTATTTACCAGCTTAATTCCCCAATCATGGATGCACTGGATGCTCTGGAGATGCAGCACAGCGTGGCTTTTATCGCAACATTTAACATGCTCATAATTATCCTGTTTACCAGAAATTGAATTTCCTTGGGGACTTCTTGCAATCGCAAACGATGTCAGCATTGCCATGACAGTTGCCACGGAGACCGAGATGTTGCTGCTTCGAGGAAGCAAAAACAAAATGCAGCTGGTATTTCAGTTCTCGATTCGTGGTTGGCAGGATATGGAATAGAAACAGGCTGCGATGGCTGGATATGGCCATAAATTGGACAAGTAATGATGCGTTATGATTTTCGGTTTCCGCTTGTTTGCCGCCCCACAAAGTGGCAAATGTCGTGGCAAGTCAACAACACCCGTGGCAGCTGCAATTGCTCCCCGCCCGCCACTTTGGCCCATAATATTGGTCGAACACCTGTGCTTTTCATATACTTACAGCTCCTGCAGTTGCGACAATTTGCTGAGTCCCTCGGGCAGACTGCTTATTAAATTATCGTCCAGCTCTCTGCAAAGGAAAGGAAAAATAGTAAAACATGCTTTGAAATACATTTCGTGATTTCGATTATAGAAATTGAGTTGCAAATTTTGCTCTCGCATTTTATTTTCCCACAGAATCACAGCCATTTGCATGACTTTGTTTGGGGGTCAGTTTTCTTTTCTAAGCTACGTGACATCACGTAGTTCCTAGCGGTGGCTTTTCCATTTCCGATGGGGCAACTTGACTCCTGGTCGAAGATGCAAATTTATGCGTGAGAGTATTTTTTAACAAACTGCTCTGATTTCAATTATTTATAAAAAATTAAGGGAATTTTTGTAAGGATGACAGAAGAATTGACCAAGTTCCAAAAAAAGCAATAAATCACTTAATAACTTGTATAAACAAAATATTTCTAGACTTATTTCAATAAAATAAAATAAAATAATATACAAAATTCATGGGGATAGTGTTGACTGAAAACAACAGATGCTCTCGCCAGCAACTTTCCATCTCATTTTCACCCACATATGACCCACTCTGACTCCACTTTTGGGTGGGCGTGACTCGGCTTCCATAAATCTGGAGTCAAACGGCAGTATGCACACGGAATATTTTCCTCATTCTTCGTGAATGGTTAGATTTACGCGTTGCACGGGAAAAAGTTTTTCACTTTCACTTGATGCATTCCTCGGAACGGTGGTCACGCCCCCTCCTTAGTCTCGTTTCAAGAGGAGAATGGAACTCTGTCAGCCACAACATAAATTTGCATATTTGTCTGCTGCCGTGGGTGGCAGGGATAAGGACATGTGGGCGGTTAAGGTGGCTAAGGAGCCAAGTGGAGCGCTTTTTATGGGCCCACGGAAAAGCGTGCAGCGCAAAAGCCAAAAATTTGCGGTAAACAGCAGCGCAGAACGTCAACGCTGGCGACGACAATTTAAGCTGTCGGCTCCGAACTCAAAACCGAACTGAAACCAACGCGCAAGGGGAAACAAGAAGAAAAAAGGAAAAGTTTTCCACGCTTTTGCTGTAAAATTGAAATTTATTCGAGGCATGGCCGCAAAACGGATAAACACCATTTCCACTTGCCACTTGTGCTCGCTTGAGGTATCATCGTTTTTGCTCTATTCCTGGCATTTTTAATGGGGTAAATTAGTTTGCTTGATTGAAGACGAGGTTTAAAAAAAATGTTACGTCAATATCTAATGGACATTTTAGAAACAGATTTTAAATATTAAAAAAACCTTTAAAAATTCCAAACATTTTCATTTATAAGAAGATTTTGTCAGAAGATTTTTCAATGATCTTACATCGGCTTAATTTCCTTAAAACAGAATTAATTTATTTTTAAAATATATTTCTAGGTATTTTCATCACTATTCAGTATTATCAACCATGCTCTAGAGCATTTAACTTTCGGACATTCTTCGGAAAAGAGAAATCATTTTTCTATTCGATATCAATTGCTGTTTTGTGGGTCGCCTTGGTGTCAGTGTGTTTATGTCATGTCGCTTTGGCTCATGTGTGTGTTTGCGTTTCCTGCATAAAGTTCTTAAAGTATTCGAAGTTCTGTGGCACGGTTCTTGCTACTTACAAAACTTTTAAGGCGGTTAAATTTTTTAGAGCTCCCGCGGAGATTTTCATGATTTGGTTTCGCTTCAGCAAACTGTAAAATAAGGAGAAACGAATGCTTAAACTTATGCACATGAAAACGGCAGCCAGGAGACTTCAATTACTTACAGCACGATCAAGTTTGGCATTCGCGGAAAGTCCTCGTCGTTTATTATTGTCAACAAATTGCTGCCCAAATTGCTGTCGATGTTCCAAGTGGAAGCAGAACACAGAAATTATTATCAGTTGAGACTGGTTTTATGATCCCCTAACTTTCGTTTATAATTCAATGCTTTTTGTGGCTCGAGTAAGTTTATAGATTAAAAATGGTAATACACTTGGGATGAAGGAAGTTACGGGTCAATGCTCGCTAAAAACATGCACATAAAATTATTATTATCGACTGTGGTTAGTTTATATGGGATTTATTGTCGGATGTCTGTCGTTTATGTGGAGTATTGAATCAATTGTATTTTTAAATAATTTATTTGCTTTGTGTCTGAGAATTCAGGGCTAGTAAACCAGTTTTCTAAGCCCATAAATTAGTAAAATTTAGCATTCCCCCGCACATCAGTTAAATAATGAAATAATTAGCCTAATTGGTTACCGAAATGCATGCCAATAATTTAATAAAACATTTACAATGCGCTAACGGCAACATCGATTAAAGAATCAAAGTAACATATATGTATTTTCCCAATTCGTTTTGGTTACAAATTTTCGAGTCATGCAGGATAGTAATTAGTTTAAAGAACTCTTGAAGGCAAGTCAAAGGGCTCACAGTGCTTCGAGCGTTCTGAGTCCGGCCAGCGCGTTCGTGGGAATGCGATAGAAGAGATTGCCCTCCAATCGCAAGGTGCGCAGTTTCTGCAGGTGGCCCAGACAATCCCCATCCAGGCTGACCAGGGCGTTGCCATTCAGCTGTCTGAGTTTTTTGTTTAACCATTGCAAAAATATCAAAATAAAGAAGGGGAAAAACAGCACAGAAAAGCGGAAAAATATGAGAAAATAGCGTGTAATTGCTCGGCGAGTGCATGTGCGTGTGGCGGTGTGTGTGTTTGCCCGAAAAACAAACAAATTCATCCGGCTGAGAAGTCCTCGCTGTGCTCTCCTCCCACATCCTTTCGGCGATATCCTCAACTTAATTGCGGTGCTTAAAAGCAAACATAAACGTTCACGTCCACGTACACTCAAACACACACACACACTGTTCTTTTCATATTATTTTAAACATTTTCCCCTGCATACTTACAGGCTGGTCAGCTGGGCGAGTCCTTGGAACGACTGCGGCGGCAGGGACTTGAGGCCACAGTTCTGCAGGCTCAATCGTTTCAATTTGCCCAGGCCATAGAATGCATTGGGATCCATATTAATGATGCTATTGTCGGACAAAGTTCTGCAAATAAACCTTCCCTTGGTCAACAACAATGATCTCTCGTACTTATATAAACGGGCATAAAGTCAAACTAAAGTCGAGTGTCGTCGCCTAAAGTGCAGGAAATTGCAAGGACGGCAGAGTCGGGAGTAATTAATCGTCCCAACTCGCTGGAATATACAGCGTAATCAAGTAATTTATATTACCAGGGGGTTCGGGACTTAAGTCAGGGGAGTGGGGATCTGCGGTTTTCCAGGGGGTTGACCGCTGTGATTCTTTCTTTTTTTTTGCGCATGGGTTCGCTGTGAAATTGAATAATGAGTTGCTATGCCCGGCGACGGCAACTTTGACTGTTGAAATGACGAAAGTTTTTATATTGTTGTCATATTTTTTACTCTTGTTGCTGCCGTCCAGCATAGATTAAAATGGGGTGGTTTTGTGGTTTCTAAAATACCCCAAGGGAGCTGGGTGTTTTATACTACGGCTTAATTTTGGAAGGGGAAGGATAATCCGCACCATGAATGAAATTGGTGGATATATCATTAATTAAAGACGCCATAAAACTGTAGAGCTTACATTTTTACATCAATCAGGGACTTATACTCACAGCTCCTCCAGATTGGGTGCCATAAAAAATGAGTTTGCCTCCAGCTTGGTTAAGTTGTTGTTGCCCAAATCTCTGTTGGCGAAATGAATGACAGAAGCAAAACAATAAAAAAATTAATAACTGTATTGAAACATCCGGGATGCCAACATTTCATCCATCAGCAAGGCAAAGAGAAAACATTTGCCATTGTCATGAATTGAAAACGAGGCTTAAATGATTGGAAGTGAGGGAAAACCTCTGTAGGGGCCATCAATCAAATGGGAAATTGCATAAAAACATATTGAGATAACCCTGGAACCTCTCCACGACGGAAAATGGCATAAAAATGAAGATGAACCGTTTGGCAAGGGAACAGTTTTTCAGAAAGCGAACAACTTTTAGGAAAAATCCGAAAGTGAGCGTAAGATCCACATTGCAAGTGATTTTAATGGCTTATGACTGGCGGCTCTGAGCGATGCGTTAATTAATAAATTATTTATTTATTTATGGACCGTTCGAGTTGGCCATTAATCAGCTGAAACTTTGGTTAAGCCAAAAGCGGTTCCCAACTCCTTTGAGATAGCCCGTCGGCGGCAAGAAAACGTGACTCACATACGTGAGCAATGACAGCGACGCGACGGTGACGATGACGATGATTGCGAAACGCTGCACAACGTGGCGTATGTGTAATTAGATTAAACCGCATGCCAAAATCGTCCGAAACCGTATCGGACCGAAGACTGCGAAATTGACTTGTAATTATGCGATTTGTGGAATTCCAGCAGCGGGAAATGGTTCAATACCTCAATACTGTGAGTCGGCCTAATCGCTTAATAAGGGGAAGTCTTGGAATTATTAATCGTTTAATTAAGCGGCCATTGTGGGTATTCGGATTTGGGGATTTACTTTGCTTAAAGTAAGAGGTATTAACATGAAGGACCAAATCTAAAATGATGAAGACTTTATACTATAAATTTTGATAGTCTAATTAATTTGAATAAAATATAATTCTGTTTTAATAATTAGGTCGGTAATTTATTTTGAAATAATTATTAATTGGTAGATAAATGGTTACTATTTTAATTTGAATATTAACATGCATCTTAAATCAAGTGAATTTAATATGAAAATATATAATAGTATAATATTTCATTTTAAAATGAATCTTATGTCAAGTGATTTAGAATGACAAATGTTGGTAATTTTTCGCAACATTTATTTTAATTTATGCATAGTTTCATAAATATATTCAAAAATCTCTACGAAGTGATTGATATTATTTCAAAGATTTATGATTTCTGAAAATGGTAATTGCTATACTCACAGGACGACCACTTCGTTGGGCAGGTTGACGGGCACCGCCAGGATGCCGATGCCGCGGCAGCTGAGCCGCAGGACCTCCAGGCTGCCGGTGCAGTGACAGTGCTTCTGCAGCCAGCGCTCGCAGACCGCGTGAAGCGTTCGCTTACCTCCGATGACGTCGGCGGAGGAGGTGGAGGTGGAGGCGGTGGTCAGCTGGCTGCCGTGATACTCCTGCAAGGACTTCTCGTACAGGATCTGGGCCTCCCTTTCGGGATCCGCCGAGGGCAGCATGACGTTCTCCCTGATGCCCGTGGGCGTGGCAGTGGCGGTTGTAGAGCTGCTATTCACAGTTAGTTGGCTAAGTTGTTCGCTATTTGGTTGATGTTGCTGATGCTGCAGGTGGACGTATGGCTGTTGCTCCTGGCGATTTCCCCCGCCCGAGGCGGAATTTTCTTTGGTTTCATCATCATGGCCCATCGCCAGTCGGAGCAGCAGCAGAAAGCAGAGCGCCAGGCGCCAGCTCCACCGGCAACGCGCTGCCATCGTTGCTGTCGTCGCTTTTGTTGATTGATGCTGTCAAGCATTTGTCATTTGATGACAGTTTTGTGTGCGATTCGTTTCTCGCTCATGATTCTCGGCTGCCGTCGCGGTTCCTTAAACTTGGCTCACTCACTCACTTCTCTGCCGCAGTTCGAATTTATTTCATTCACTTTGCATTCACTTTCCTCAGTTGCACTTTATTGTGTTTTTTTTTGTATTTTTACATATATACTGCACGACAGCAGATGGAATTCACTTTGATTGCTTGCGTTTTTACGCTTAACGTAGCTCAAATGCTGCGGTTTCTCGGGTTATCGCGGTGATTGATGCTGTCTAAGGGGACGGGAAAGCGATAATGAGGTGTCACTCAGGGTTCTTAAATTATTATAGATTGCCTCTTAACGGTTAATATATGCCATTATTTCCAGCAACACATTATGTTATAAAATGGATTTTTTATTTAAAATCTAAATTTAACTCCAAGCGTCAAAAATCATGATTTGCATAAACAAAACTTGTTGAAACCATAATATATATTCTGTCAAAAAGAAAAAATATGTGCTGTTTTGCCAACTTTTTGTCACATTGCCCCTCATCAGGACAGCATAAAAGAAAGTTTTTCCCCCAATCAACCCGGACTCATAAAGGACAAAATTAGCCAACAGCCCATCAAACACTTCATATAAACAATGGGCCCAAATCACTAGCTGGCCAGAACCGAGCCTTGTTCCTGTCAGAAACAAAAGGCTAAGAGCAGCACACACAAAGCTGATGAATGACAAATTTGCCACAGAATGCTTCCTGCAGAATCGTGAGGCAAGGCCCATTTTTCACCACTATGCCCGAGTCATAATTAATGAGTCTGTTGACAGTTTTAGATTTGCGATGGGCTACAAAGTGTCGACGAATCGCTTTTTTTTATATGTAGGTATATGTATGGCAAACCAACTAAATGAATCTTAACTTCACATTCTGCGCGCCCTGAAATGTCACGATGATGTGTTCGGTGCAGGATGAGGAAGGACAAAAATATGTCCGAAAATAAAAGAGATTTCCCAGCACGAGCCACCGGCAACAGCAGCACCACCTTCGCTCACACTTTTGCCGGATGATTTATGGCATGTTTATGTTCCACTGACCTCGCAACTAGCAACCGAAAACAGCAACAACTGAGCGGATAGTTGGGCACCTCGGAAACACATCCCGTGGATAAGGCAAAAATATTGAAGAAGACGCGGAAAATAAATGACAATGTCGACGTTAAGATACCTGTTAATATAAAAATATAATCCAATTTCTGGCGATTTAAATAAAAAACATTTAGAGGTAATATTTTGTCTAGTTAATAAAAACCATTATTGAAGATCATAGTTAAGTGACTTTTCTTACCCTACTAAAAAAATAATAATAATAATTTAGCAAATACAACTCAGATTCAATACACCCTGCTAATCCAAATGTTAGGGTACACAAATTCTCGAAAAATACCACAAACGATGACGGCGATGATTTCAATTGGCTCTAATCGAATCTGGGGAGTATTTTATGGCCCTGCCCATTTCCATTCATGAATAATAATCTGTTCGCTCCTCTCGCCTTTGCTAATTGTAAACAAACATCGATTGTTATTTATTTACTATTAATATCGATTATAAACAATCTGATATTTAGTATCTTTTATGCGAATTTGAAAGAGTTTGTGCAGCTTGGCGACAAGGTGATGAAAATGACTATGTAAACTTGGGGGAAGGCTAATAAAATAATTTTTAAAAAATATTGAATCTGTTATGCATTAATAGAAAGATTGTTTCGGTTCACTACTAAGCTTCCCCTGCTTTTATTCTCCCCTAGCAACAAATCCTCGAGGCAAACTTTCTACCCTCGCCGACCGAAAACTTTAAACCATCTGCAAACGAATGGGAAAATTCAAATATTTACACCCTGAGTAGGGTGTGAGGAAAAAAAGGTAAAACAAAAACAAAGTAAGAAAATAAAATAGGTGGAAACAAAATCAAAACCAAAAGGCAGACAAATGCAAACACACGTTTTCCAGATTGAGATTGTTTGGAAATGAAAATTGGCCGGCTGCCGAGATTGTTTTTCATAACTCTGAAGAAGCTGGGGTAAAATCCTAGATGCTATTAAGTGTTCCTAGAAGTTGTTTGTTTGCTTGGGAATAATTTGAAAACAACTTGGTTTGCTCGTGACTTAATATACGTAAAGGTATTTAAGCAACGATTCTAAAGTACTTCAGCATGAAGTGATAAATGTCCTTTAGATGAGAAATTTTACAATCTCGCCCAAATCAATCCCCAATTTCCACTCAATTCGGACAGCTCTTAATTAACTAATTAGATAGCTATTAGCCGCCTGGCTGATTAGTTGACATTGACTGGATATTGTGACAGATCAATCTCGGTGTTTATCACATAATCGTTAAAGCGGTTTATCGCAATTTTCGCTGAGCCATGCAAATTTTCACAGTCGAACGATTGCCAAGTCAATCGTTTCGGTATTTTACGGATTTAATTGTCACACGATTTTTGTTGTGACTGTGACTTTAATTGATATATGTTTGGTCGGTTGGCACATAGTCACCGCGAGTGTTTTTCGGTTTTCCACGCACTTCAATGCCAATCCGTGGTCAACCCACATAACTCCGCAGAACGCTTCAAAAATTCATGAAAATCTCATAAATTTTTGCATTCGCAGCGATTAATTACAAGAACCCAGACACTGACACGCCCCAAAAAATAAAGCGATCTGTGGATGGGAGTGTGAGTGCGGGCAGGTCGGTGGGAAATATGAAAAATATGAAACCCGATATGGCAAAAGTTGAAGTTTTCTTGTTGAAAATTGATTTTGACATGGAGTGAATTTATATTTCCCCAAAAACAGAGCGCCGGCAAACTCTCGAACCCGAGATGCAAACTTGTGGGGCTTGATTTAATCAATTTTGGCTCACTTCGCTATGTAAAAGAAATCAATAGTCAGCAGCAGAAAACACAAAACACTCGAACGTGAGTGCGTTTCTCGTATATCTCAATATCTCGGCCTGTGTGTTTTTTGTACAAGTGCACCTCACCAAATACAAAACTGGATTTTCAACACAAAATGCAACTTCACTGCTGTGTGTTGCATTTATGCTGTTTTACACTGACCTTGATTCATTGTGGGATATTTTCGATTTTTTGTTGCTTTCGGCTTTTGGCTTTTTCGCGCTCGACTTTATTAATGACAGCTGTTGCATAATTTATTTAATTTTTTGGCGCGCTCGGATCTGTTTTAAGAGCAAAATAATTAAATGTGATTTCTGTTTAAGGAGAAAATCAATTTTCTACTAAATCGCCAAAGGAGAAACGTGGCTGATGAGTATGAAATTTAACTAATTAAATAGTTTTCATACTATATGAGCAAGATATTTCTGAAATTTCAATAATTTCAAGGCAGAAACCAAATAAATTTTCGAAATAATTGCCTAGAAATAAATCATTAATTGAAATATTCAGGAATTTTCATAATTAATCCGTATATTATTATAAACATTTTTAGACCATAAACTGACACAGAAAATGTAGATCTTTTTTTAGAGCTGCCAAACAATTATCAATTTGAGTTCCCCCATCAAAGCAGAGGCCACATGAAAGTTCACACCTCCCATCCGATTATTTGGCGGCCTTATCCCACTGATCGGGGCACTTTTGATCGCTTTGATCTCGTGGCTCCTCTCTTTGGCCCATTGTTAAGCGGCTCACATGTATTTTGCGATGTTATTATTGCGGGGATGGCTGTCGAATCGATTTCGTGTATCTTTGAGATGGCCCCAGGGAGTGATGGGAACAACTCGCTGGCAGCTCTCATTATTGGCGATTATTCAACTGTTTATTTTATGGCTTTCTCATTACATTCTCCTCGGTGCGGTGCTGTGTGCGGTGCAAATTGGCAGCGTCATCGCCGTCATAATCGAGCTATTAGCCAGAAGAAGAGAGAAGGCTTCTTATTTACATTTCATGCTACTCAATTTTATTGGCAGTTTGGGTCAATTGTCTGATGACGACGACGGCCGAAATGTGTCTGAAATCGTTTTCTGATTCTTTGTCGGAGATTCCCCCCGAAAGTAATTAATGCCCGAAATCTTGACCCTTGATTCGTTTTAAAACTTTTGTTCTCCATTTCTCACATTTTCCCTTTATTCTCCGGAAAATTACGTGCATGCAAGCAATTCATTTTGGCAAATGGAAATGCCACTTTGTTTATTATTGTTATTTGTATCATTTTTCGGCTCTCTTGGCTGGCAATCAATAGAATATCGAGCACAAAGGCAGCTGCCAACTGGCAACTGACCTGAAAATGTGTCCAAAACTCGATTAAGTAAATCGCAGCAGTGGGGGAGCCAGAAAATGAGATCGGGGCTCACTTATTTGTGGCTATCTTTCGGAGAACGTGACGCAGCTGCAGCAATTGATTACGCATACGACCCGTTGAACCCAGTTAACTCTGACCGCTGCACTAGACAACAATACCAAAAATTCCTTTCTCCTTTTCATTCTCATTTTTCGGTGTTTTGTGTTTTGTTTTGCTGCAGACATTTTTATAGCTCCCAAATTGGTAACAGTCAAATGGGTGGGCGAAGATGTCAGTGGCAGGACCCTCCAGATGGAGGAGATCCACTTTCCAGAACCAAAACCAGAACCAGAACTCCCTCTATATGCGTAATTGTTGACTGACTTTTGTGGTTTGCTTATAGCCGTTTAGACTGGACCACTGGGCCTTTGTGGTGCCGACACTTAACATACAAGGAATGGTACTCGCTTCTTTAGCTTTTAAACATGCAAAAAGGTTACTCAGAAAAATTATACAGAACTATTATCATTTAAAAAATACTTAATATTTAATGACTCAATAGCCCCATTTACTTTTTTAAATAAGAAAAGTACCTATCAAAAATACTACAAAATTAAAATTTCTACACGAAAGTTTCGTAGAATTGAGAGAAAACAAAAGTAAATATAAAAAAATATCATTAAATTAAAAATGAATTCGATATTAAATAATATTTTCTCTGAATTATTCTACCTTTTTGTTCTGTGCACTTGAATTAATTGTTGAAACAACTTAATTACGCATGCCGGAAGATTCCCTTTTAAAGGGAATAAAGAAAGTGCAATCTCATTTTGAGTCAATGAAGGGTAAATTTTCATCGTCACACCTTGAGGGCTAAGGGTCGCCATGGAGTTGCTCGAAGCCAAGTAGAAAATTTTCCATTTGTGGCAAATGCGCAAATTGCATTAAGGCAAAAGTTTTCCTTTCAGCTTGAACGATTTTGTCAGCATCTTCTGCTTGCCCCATCTCCCCCAGCGACCCGTTCCATTTGCCTAATTACACCAATGTGGTGGCAACATCATTAAAAAACTTGCTCTGCTCTTTTTGATTAACACCACGAAAACGGTGCATATAGAGTTTATGGCCAAGAGTTTTCCATATATTGTTGCGACACATATTTGTGGAATCGTGTCAATTGCTTGAACACTTTTTTTGGCCCACTGTACGACAATTTCCGCCAATGACGATCAAAAACAGAGAGCCCACGCCCACGCATGAGTTATCATATCAAAAACGATGTCGCCATTCAATAAATATAACATTTTAAATGAAAATGTTTATTTTTGCGCTACCAATTGGTGATTGCAGTCGCGAGACTTGTTTGTTAGTGAAAATACTCTACACTCAAAATAAAATTAACCCTAAAGTCAAGGAAATCGCCCTACTTTTGTCTTCAAGACAAGCTCGCCCTAAATTTTAGGGTCAAATTTTTCTATATTTTTGATTTTTTTTGACGTCATATTTCTAAATTTTAGGGTAATTTTACTAAATTTAAGGGCAAAAATTTCTAAAAAGTAGGAAATTTTCCTAAAAAATAGAAATTAAAAACAAAACAAAAAAACATGTTCAATCATGATTTTTTTTTGTATATACGTTTATATTATGTACTCCTCCCTATATACATATGCAGGCGTTGTGTGTCTTGTATATTGTGAATGTTAAAGGTTATGTATTTATTATTATGTATTTGCGCTTGGATTTCTTATCTAACCAAAGCCAAATGTGGTTGTAAATGTGGACTACGGGACTGCGGAAGATTGGGAATGTAGAAATTATGATTAGTTAATATTTTAGGTTCATGAAACAAACTTACAATTTTTTACTTGTCCGTCGTGAGAATCGAACCCGGGTCTCCCGCGCGAGGAGCGAATGGCCTACATACTGGGCCATTGTAGCACTTAAACTTGCTGTGGCAAACCGAGCAATGTATGTAAAGGGTGAAGCGGACAACACATTTGAATACTAATTGCATAATTTTGACCATTCGCGTTTTACTTATTTACATACGTATATACATATGTATATATTTATGCTATTTTATTTTATGTGTAGTATATAGTAAATAACTGAATATAAACCTAATTATTTTTAGTTTACTGCTTGCCATCAATAAAAAAAGGAATAAAAAAAAGTAAAAAAATAAATAAAAATAAAGTAAAATAAATTAAAAAAAATAAAATAACATTAAAAAAAAAGTTAAAAAATTTTGCTCTGGGACTCGAACCCGCGTCGATTCGATTGCTAACCAAGTGCTTTAACGGTCTGCGCCACGAGTACAGCTGGCCGGCAGCTGACAAGTTCTGGCATTGAACATTTTGGTGTGCCAGAGCATGTAAAAACAACTATTTCTATTTTTTAGAAAAACTTTCTACTTTTTAGGAAATGTTTCTATTATTTAGGGTTAGCTTAATTTTAGGGTTAGGACACTCATTTTTAGAAAAGGTGTTGCCAATATATTTTATTATTTTCGTTTGCCTTTCTATTTTTCAGAAAATAATTTCTAATTTTAAGGGCATTTTTTCTAGATTTTAGGGTGATTTCAGTTCATGGTAACCATTTTCTACATTTAAGAAAAACTTCCTGGATTTAAGGAAAACTTTCTTGACTTAAGAAAAATTTCTTTAGATTTAGAAATAACTTTCTTGTATTTAGAAAAAAGAAATTTTAATGGCGATTTTCTAAAATTTAGGGTTAAATTTATTTTGAGTGTAATTCTAAGTGGGAATATTGATGGAAAGGATAGATTGGGATTAAATATCTTTGAATTTGAAAAATGCATTTTAAAATTATAAAAAATATTTACATTTCATGATTTTGAAAAAATTGTATCCTAATCCCAATACCAAATGAATTAAACCAGCCTTTCTATAACACAAAGAAAAGAATATCCCTAAGTCGACCAATAAAGTTTATTCATAACACTTCTGTCTGTCATTGCAACGCTTTTTTGTCTGTGGCTTTTCATAATGGAAATTAGTTTGTTCATGCGTAATTTTTATAAACTGTCGTCATCAATGGAAAACCCCGCTCTCCGCCGAAAGCAGGCGGCTCGCTTCTAACTTGCCCCGGCTTGCCTTGGAAATGCACTTAGGCTTCGCTTTTTTTTTGTTATTTGTTTTGTATACATTTTTCAATTAGCTGCAATTTGCGGATCGCAGCGGCAGCTGCCTGAGAAAGAACATTGCCGAAAATTGATGACGCCCCGGAGCAACCGAACCTTTTCATTTTATTTGGGTTTTGCAAAACTTTAAGCTCGTAAATTAAAAAGAAAAGGGTTACGCTCTGAACGCTCATCCTCGGGACTGCTGATGGATTACAAATTAAGTTGAAACTGATGCGGGCTGCAATGTCGAAGAGACTTGGCTTCTCTGATTAAATATGCAAGCCAAGTGGGAATTGGAATTGGAATCGTGGGGAATTTTTCTGTTCGGTTGCCGAGTTCGGAGCCTAAATGGAAATCCAAACACGCGTCAACACTTTGCGGCCTGTGGTCAGTGGGTGGTGCTGAGTAGGGTGATGATTCCCGTCTCTCTTATATATTTTTGGCATTTTTTCTTTGTTTTCTGCTTAATGAAATGCATGAGATTTCGGCTGTCTGTTGGCGTATCTTTGGCGCTAAAGTGTTGTGAACATTTCTGGCTACCAGATTGGCATACATAATTAACAATTGCACTCGGGGCGCGCTCTCTAGGTTGATGTTACCATTTTTGATGGCTTTCGGGGACTTGTTCTTGTCCCCGGGTGCATTGACACTTTTTCGGGGTTTTCCCTGCGCGGTTAAACGAAATCTGACTACAGATAGTCATAGTAATGAATGCGAAGTATTCACATGCATTATGCTCGCCTTGGGAAATTTACACGAAGATATTCGCGTAAATTGTGCTTAGGGAGCTAATAAATTTTTCATTTTGTCTGGGTTCTTGCTTTGTTGCGAATTTTGGAATAATCTTGGAGAAATTTTAATTAAAAATCATTTACGGAATATTTTTAAATAACTTTTTGAATGAATTTGTGTAAATACTTTTATTGCCATTAGTTAAATATATATTTCTTTAAATTTAAATACTTATTTAAGATCAAATACTATTTTCCGATTATATTTAATGTACTTCGTTGATAAGTTCTCCATGTTGGACACTTAATTAACATGTGAATAAAATGGCACTATCTTGATTCATTTAAATGTAAATTTCATTTTCATATCACTTAACGATTTCACATTTGAAATAATTATCAATTTCTGCTGGCACAGTTTTCACGTATCATATGGGCATTCAATTTTATATATGCTATCACGATCACGATATTCTAGGCATTTAAAGCGTCACGAGCCGCTGCGTTAAATAAATCGACGTCATAGATCAGTGTGCGAACTTTTATTATATATTTATACCCGTTACTCGTAGAGTAAAAGGGTATACTAGATTCGTGCAAAAGTATGTAACAGCTAGAAGGAAGCGTTTCCGACCCCATAAAGTATATATATTCTTGATCAGGGTCACTAGCCGAGTCGATCTAGCCATGTCCGTCTGTCCGTCTGTCCGTCTGTCCGTCTGTCCGTCTGTCCGTCTGTATGAACGCTGAGATCTCAGAAACTACAAAAGCTAGAAGGTTGAGATTTCCCACACATATTCTTTGGCTTCCTACGCAGCGCAAGTTTATTTTAGCCGAGCGCCACGCCCCCTCTAACGCCCACAATCGCCCACTAACGATTTTAAAATGGGTCCTGCGCCCACATCTTTAAAGATTTCTGAGAAGTGTAAATGCAATTTTGTTGTGTATATTTATACCTATCGAAATGTAGAAGACATTTTTCAAATCGGACCATTCATTAAAAAGTTATACGCTTTATAAATTGTCAGCATATATCTATCTCCCTCGCACTCCCTTTAGCTGAGTTACGATTATTAGTCGGGACACCAACCCGACACAGCGTTTGCACTCCCTTTAGCTGAGTGACGGGTATTAGATAGTCGGGACACCAACCCGACTATAGCGTTCTCTCTTGTTTTGTGGTCGTTTCGGTCGTTTTGTGTTTTTATTGAAAATTGAAAGTGTGTTATAAACACTCACACACACTCCACTCGACGTGGAGTGACAAATGCAGGCACCAACACATTCGCAGGGGAGATGAAAATCAAAACAGCAACAAAAGTTGTTGATGCCGCCAAAAAGTAAACGACCTTTAACGCCAATAAAAACACACACCAAAACAGCGGCAACAAAACGGCGAGTGAAGAGAGGAAAGCGGTATTGTATGGACTCCTTGCCGCAAGTTGCCGTTGCCGTTGGATCCGTTAAAAACGCGGTCAGCGGCCAGAAATTTAATTTATGCGTAACGAGTTCACGCGCCTACAAAACTTGGTGGCACCTCAGTAATCCGTTTGCTGGCCAATTATTTATTTTTTAACCGTCAGAGCCAACCGCACGCGTCGAACGCACAAAGCGAACTGAACCAAAAAGCGTTTTCGGAGGAGCCTCCAGCCAGCGGCAGCAGCAACAGCAACGGCAGCAACAGCAGCAGCAACATATATCGCAGGTTGCCAGCAACACACAGGAATGTTGCCAATATGCCTGCAACTGCGTCACTCCTTTGGCTTCTTTTTGGATTAAGAGTGGTTTTGCTACGTGAAAAAGGTTTCAAACCTATAATATCAGCCATAAAAGGAAATATTCATTTAATAAATATTTCAGATTTAATTGTTAAAATAAATTATTAAATAAAGTATGTGTTTTTTTAATTGAGACTTAAAATATTTAATTCTAGTTTCAAAAATGAACTTACAGATACTTTTATTAACCTTTAACCTTTGGTCCATAACTCCCATTTTAAAAATTACAGGGTAAAGTAGTTAAATATAAGGATAACAAACATGTAAATTAAAAATTAACTAAAATAAATATAATGAATTCACACCTTGATTTTTGTAGTAGAAATTGTGATATAATTTTAAATTGATTCCCATAACAGATCTTTGAGCTTAGAAACCTTAAACTTTTGTGTTTGACTAAAATGTTGCCGAGATTGCGCAGTAAAGCCGCGGTGGTATTGCCCAAACTGTTCCGTTCCGCTGGCCGTTGCGGTCCCAGCTCGTAAATGCTGCCAGGTCCTTCGGTTAGCCTGGCTGGGAGAACTGCTTAATGCAAGATTTACGCCCGGCATTCATTGAGTGGCCATAAACACCTGTTGCTGCGCTGCCTTGGCTCCTGCTGGAGTCTGCTTGTCGCTTTTCCGACATTTGCTACATCTGCTGGCTACAAGGCAAACTTTTTTATGGCCCTCTGCAAAAAAGAGAAAAGTTTCCTTCTTTTATTTTTAGTCATTTCAAAGCGGCTTATGTGAAACTAGAAAAATTGTGTTATTGTTGGGCATTTATTTGTTCTGCTGCTGTTATTATTGCGAGCCGCTGGAAATATTTCCCAGACTTTCTGTTTTTGTTTCGCTTTGTTGCGGCATAATAGAGGTCAGGAAAAAAGTTCAATTGTCGGCAGTGCCGCCGAAAAAATGTGTAAATTGTCAAAAAGTCAAAAGGAAAAACTGTCATTTGTTAATTGAAAAGCATTTAGTTGGAAATGTTTTTGTGGTCTCGATGAGTGTAAATTTGAGTTTGGCAGGTTTTTAGTGTGTGTAATTATTAGAAAATTGCTTGTACGGACATAATTCTCAATTAGCCAATGATGTCAGAAAAGTTTTTGTGAATTTTAAGTAATTTTATTTAAATTTATATTCATTTCGTGTGTGGCCAGTAGATTTATTATCTCATCTCGCCTGGCATTAGCATATTAATCCAATAAATCTAACGGAAGCCCACCGTCCGAATTTAAAAATAGAAATTAAACACTTTCCCAGAAGCCTTTTTTCCCTTTCATTTGCAAATTTTCACATTTCGCTGACGCCTCATAACTTCCAGCGTTGAACGGGCTGAGAAAGGGGTTGGCCGAGCGCATTATGCATAAATTCCCGTTAATTAAAAGCGCCACAAAGTGCACGAGATAGCCGTGGAATGGGCTAGAGAGTAAGAGAGAAATAGATATAGGGCCAAGAGATGAGAAGAAAGAGGAAATGGTCCTTAATGCAGGCCCAATATAAAATATGCGTGTCGGTAATTTGAGGAATGCAACAGAGGACCAAAGGCCCCGTAAATTTTCAAGAGCTTGCTGGGAACCCATTCCCCTTACTCACCAACCCCCTTCTCACCGAATGAACTTGGCCAACCCAAACGGAAGCGGAAGTTGCAGCAAATGGCGCATGAGATTGAGTGTGTGTGCAAGTGCTAGTGCGGGATATAGCACATTAGGAACAGAGGGGGTGAAATGCCGAAGAACTCCTTGCCCGACTGTCCTCGTAACAAGAGTCCTGACCATGCACACACAAACAGGATAACGACGATAACTACAACAGGGAACCTTTCATGTTGAAGGGGGCCTTTGGAGAGCAAAATATTTACACATACTAAATCAGGCGAAAGTCCTCGAGAGCCTGCGAGCGTGTGTGTGTGTTTGTGTAATGACCTTGTAAGGCTGTTTGCCCTGTGCACTTTTTGTTGAACTGAGTTTTCACTGAGGACCAGCGGCCAGAGTTTTAACCACAATTATGCAATTAGAAAAACAGCATTTCCAATCCAACTAAAGGGTAGCTCTAAAAAGGAAGTGTTTATAAGGTTGCTACTAAGGCCGCCCATCGTTTGACAAATGATCCCAAGGGAACGCCACTCAATTTGCATATTTTTCACTTTCAGCCTTTCATTTCGGCATAATAAACTATTCATTAGCATTGGAAAAACTGCCAAATGCAGAAAGGCGCGCGTTTAAGCCATAATTTATCAACGTTTCAATGGCCAAGGAAATCCAATGTGTGTTTTTGAAATTATCATAAATTAGACAACGAATGAAATGATTGATGGCCCAATTAACTATTCGCTTTAAAACATAAATTTACTTTCAATAACTTTTTAATTCTTATTTTAAATTTCAAGAAATATTTTGTTGCGTTGTTTACATATTGCTTTGGTACTAAACTTATTTTCTTATTTGTTTTGCGGTCACAACATCAAGCAAAATATGTATGGCCATCAACACTCGTTTAATTTTGGTTCATTTGGGAAATAAGGGATCAATGTCCAAACAATAAACATGCAGCATTCTCTGCCCTTTTACCCACATCGACCTACTTACGAACGCTGGCATATTGATGTCTAGGATCGAAAATATCCAGGGCGGGCAGCATTTAGCTCTCATTCGTTATATGTGTGTGACAGTTGACTGAGGACCTTGGGATGCGTAAGGGAAAATGGAAAGGGAAATACCATGCAGAAAACGAAAACTAAAACCGAAGACAACCAAGATGAGCGTGAAGCACACAAAATTGCATGTCGAGTGCTGCATAAAACTCGAGTTACAGCAAATTTGTGGATATCGCTTGCCAACCAAAAAAAAAAGGTTTCATTCTAAGCTGAGGAGGAGAATCAACAAACCGTTTCAGTACCAACTTTATATAATTGGGACAAAAACAACGATAAACGTAAATTCAATGTATTTCGGCAATGAAAACAATAAATTGTAATTTTTTATTTATTAATATTTTCAATTTTATAAATATTTATTTGTTATATTTTTCAAAGGTATACTAGTCCACTGTTTGTCACATTTTGCTGACCATTGAACTTTTCCAGCAAACTTTTCGTCCTTTTCGGCGAGCGAAAGATAAACAAGCTGCATTGTCGGAGACAATTAAAACCGTAAAGTAACACCGAGAACGAGTCGTGTCACAACATTTCTGACACTTTAATTGCCCCTCGAAAATGTGAAGGAGCAGCGACAAGGACACGAGGATGTGCTACGTCCTGCGAGTCAAGTGACAGCGACCACATAATTTGCGGCTCTCGCTTGACTTTAATTGCATTTAGCACTATTGGACGAAACTTAATTTAAACAATTACAGGGTCAGGCGAGCGCGAGGACAATCCGCAAAGAGCTTGGCTGCTGGGCAGGCAGCAAGGCAGTTGGGGTAATGCATTCGCAGACGCCATAAAATGCAAATTCCTGTTGATCCTGTTTGGCGATGCCAATGCATGTGCTCGGTCCTTGCCATTTAGCCGGGTTAACTGGGGATGCTGGATGCCCAACTGCCCTGTCATGTCTGCTGTGCGCCAATTTCCATGCTTTCCACGAGCAGCGTTCCTGGCGCGCTTTAGCACAAACCAATCTAAGGATGTTGTCAAGCTCGCAATCCCAATGCGCCCTCAAATGGATGAAAGGTGGTGGGTGGACGAGGCTCTGACCCCAGCCTGCACTGCTGCTTCATTGGGCCTTAGCACAAATATTTGATTTGAATTTTTCTTTTTTTTTAACCCTCTCAACAGTTGTCTACACTGACATTATAGTGGCTCGGAAATGCTATTAATAATATTCATTTAATATTAATTTATTTATTAATCGCCTATGAAGAAATTATTTTCTGGCTAAAATTAAAAATCTTTAAAGTTTTTAAAAAAATAATCCCTAAGGATTTCAATATACACAAATTGTCCCAAAAATTTTAAAAGCATAAGAGCTCAAGAAATTTCGAAAATAATAAATATAAGAAATTGTTTCTGTATTCTGATTCATAGCGATTAGCCTCTAGTTTTTATCAAAGAGAAAAAAAAATGGTATAAAACAGGAACTTTTAGGCCTTTTAAATGTATAACAATAATTTGTTTATGTTCATTGAGGATATTTTTAAGGAATCAGGAATTAACACAAAAAAAGGTAATTATTTTTCCCTGTATAATTTTTTTTAATGCAGCTTACTTTGGCTTTGCAACTAAACTGAAACTGGCTCGACATAATCCCCGAGTATTTTAGCGCTGGCATTGCACCTTTGACCCCCATTTGCACATCCAGCGCGCCCACCACCTCCGCCCCCTGTGAGCAACTCATCAAACTGCCATTACTTTTACCCCCAGCAAATCCGACAAGGGCAGTGGCGATGTTGTCACCAGTTGGAGCTGCTCCTAGCCTTAGATAAATATGCAAATAGACTGCATGCCAGTCAAACGAAGCCCGCTGATCCAGAGCCCTTTGGCACCCACACCACACCCTCAATGTTCACTGGTTAATGTTAAGTATACGACATGTTTTCGCACATAAACTGCGATTAGCCAGGAACTTCAGATTGAGCCAGGCAATGAATTGTTTAGATTTCGAATCGGGGCATATTCATAAATCACACACGCCAATGTACAAGCTCATTAGAAGAAGACCCGAGTTCGTTGACCGACACACGCGCCTTGGACTAGAAAACTTTTGACTGGATCCGCTTTACCCTTTTGTGGAGGGTTTGCAGCCCAAAAAGTAGGCAACACAACACAATTTTTATCTTTATCGGGCCCACGCACGTCAAGGTTTGGGCCCCTGTCACACCCACTCCGCCTCCTTTGCGGCGTTATATATGTCCCTCTATTTCTATTTCTACATCTCTATTGGTTTTTTGTTTGCCCTTGTGGTTTATTTATTTTCTTTTTTTAATTTACTTCTCCTGTGCGTTTGGTTTAGTTCGGTTTCGAGGTTTTTTTGGGAGGAGAACCATAATTCAAAATGAAAATAAATGTTGGCAAGAAATATATTTGAACGCTTTACATGTAGATTGCTTACGGCTGCATAAATTGTGTGACACTACTAAAGTTAATATTTATTATCTGGTGCGAGGTAACGATATTTTCAAAACGTAAGAGAAAGCTTCTCCATGCAGATTTTCCTGTCTCTGATTATACAAGTCCTGACATGGCTATATTGTGATTTTCATTAAGATGTCTTGTAGATACCAGAGAAATATGTCTGTAGGAATTTATTCATTTTCTACAGCTAAGTCGTGGCTTAAAAGGTCCTTTTGTATTTTTTATAAAGGGAGAACATATTTATCAAAAATATAAGATACTGATTTATAGTTGATTTCTAAAAGAATATGTTTTTTGTTAATATCTATCACATTATTATTTGCTATTATTAAGACTGGAATTATATTTTTAAATTCATTCTTTTTATACCCTTGTAGAGGGTATTATAATTTCAGTCAGATGTTTGCAACGCAGTGAAGGAGACGTTTCCGACCACATAAAGTATATATATTCTTGATCAGCACCAATAGCCGAGTCAATCTAGCCATGTCCGTCTGTCCGTCTGTCCGTCTGTCTGTCTGTCCGTCTGTCCGTCTGTCCGTCTGTCCGTCTGTCCGTTTCTATGCGAACTAGTCCCTCAGTTTTAAAGCTATCGCGATAAAACTTTCCCAAAAGTCTTCTTTCTATTGCAGGTAGTACATATGTCGGAGCGAGCCGGATCGGACCACTATATCTTAAGGCTCAAACAAATATAAGAAAATTCATTGTAACTTTGTAGGAAGTAGGCGTTTTGATTCTTGACTACTTAAAAACAAGATTTAAATAAATAGAAACGCTGAATCTGAAATCCCTGGAACTGCACCGAGTAAGCATTCTTTAATCTACAAGGGTATATAAGCTTCGGCTGGCCGAAGGTAGCTTCCCTTCTTGTTTTTAATAAACAATCGTCCTTGAAGAAATATATGTGAATTTACCCAACTCATATTTAAGTTAACTGAAAGTTGTTATCTTCTTTATAAACTATCCCCATCACCATAAAAAGCAATCGTTTGAGCATCCTCTGACCCGACGCATTCTATTCCTGTGTGGTTCTTTCTCTTTTTCGTGCGTACGTGCTGCGTGTTCTTTTGTCCTTGAGGAGGCTCAACTTTAAGCAAGTCAAGCCGAAAAAATCTGCCAAATCATAGGCCATTTCAATTTAAATGTCCCCCAAATCGTCCACGCTACCACCTCGTCCATTATCCTTCTCCTTCGCACTACCCCCACTTAGCGGTTGGAGTCCTGTGCTTAATGTGCTTCCTGTTGACGATGCCGAATCGTGAAATTTCAGCTTTCCGCTCGTTTTCGTAAGCCCCCAGCCAAACTTACCCCCTGACTTTGACCAGTTGGCTTCGGGTGACATGTCAAACACGCAACTGGGGATTTCTCCAGTGTCTCTTTGGTCGTCTTCACAACCACAACAAATATTGATTATTATTATGGTCGCTCAGAGCCTACCGCGGATTTGGTCAGGAGCTTAGGAACTGGCCTTTTGGCCATTGACCCTGCCCCGAGACGAACCTCTGACATTCCGGCCCAAATGAGGCGGCAATTTTTCCACACTTTGTGGCCGCCTTTTCAGTGGGCGTTAATTTGTTGATAAATTGCTGCCCTTTAAAGGTTCTTTTTTCGGTTTAGGAAATCCCCGGCTGCGACACTAAGTTTTTATGGTTGTATTAAATTTGTCACAATGAGAATCGCGATAAGAAACTAATTAATTTCACTTGGCCCTTAGTTAGACAAAAATCGGCTAAAATTTGCGATGACTTTTATACCATTTGATTTGGAGATTTATATTGTTAAGAGCCCAATTCGAAAAACTTACGAGAAAACAAGGATAAAGTTAAAAGCAAATTAAAATCAAAAAGTGTATAATTATAATTTAAAAAAAAAATATTGGAAATTATTCCGCAGAACAGCTTTACTACTCACATTAAGCTTTTCTCCATTTGAAAAATTTTCCTTTTTAAATCCCATAAAAGCCAAAGCATTCGCATGAAAGTTTTCGTAACAAAAAATCCCACAAATATTTATTCATACATGTGCATTCACTTACAAGCACTTAAAAGCGGCCACGACGAAAAATTGCAGCATTCATTTTTTATGAAAATTGTTATATTGGGTTTTTGTTATTGTACTTCGGTTTGTTTTTTCGGTCACTCCGCATATTTGTTTTGTAGATACGCTTCATAATTCTTTATCGGTGCGATTTATCAATCCCAAAAAAAGAAAGAAAATTAAATTCGTACCATAGTGAACCGATGAAAGGCAATTGTTGGGCGAGGAAACCTGCAGCAAAATGTTTTCTTTATGCAAAGTAAATGGTCAAGTTGGCTTCATGGTTGAGAATAATGCCAAACGTGCTTGTTCAAAGTTGAATGCGACATTTTTTGGCAAGAAGAAACTGACAGAGATAAAAATTCGTTCTCTTTAAAAAAGTAGGGGTAGAGAAGAATATCATTAGGGTATATCATTCAAACTCAATAAACTGTCCTAGTAACAAAATCATTGTCCGTTTTCAAATTTTTGGTTTGAAATTTGTCAAATATTTTTTGGCTAATTTATGTTTTGTGTAAAAAATAATTATGAATCGAAAACATTATAAAGATACATCAGTTGATAGGAAGAATGGCAGACAATGCACCGAGTCTCTCAGGGATCTGTTGTTTAGTCTGGGCATTCATGGTAGCAAGGATTGGATAGAGTACGTTAACAAAATAAGTATGTAAATGAAGGCATTTTTAGTCGATTTCTTAATGAATTATAAATTTACAAACTCAGCGGAAAAAAAAGCTTCAGTTTGTGAAACACTCGAATCGTGTAAAGAGATGGCTGGATGCACTGGAAACAATTTTAGAAACAGCTCTTCAAAAACGAGTTTGAGTTCTAATCTTATATTAAGGGATGAACAGATCAGGAAACTTAAACGCTTGGAACTTAAAATTAAAAAACTACTGGAGGCGAAGGTGGAAACACCGGATGTTCCCGAAAATAAATACCAGAGGTGCCGAGTCTTGGGTAAAATCTTCTCGATTCTTTTCGATCAAGGACCGATTGAACAAATCTGCAGCCTTGTATTTACTATATTCTCAATTATAACGTCCGTGATCGTGGGTCCTGAAGGCCCGCCAAGCATTAAAAATGTGCCCCAGAAGTCAGGGTCACGATTACTTCCCCCACATATCGACGAGCCTCTGAATGTGTTATTGGATAGAATGTCAGTGCTGTGTTCCGATCCACCAAAATTACCCACGGAGACCATTAAAAAAGGCACTAAAGCGGATATAACGTCAGCATCAGCCAAAGATAAAACCGCAGCACCAAAAACAAAGTTGACTAATGAAAAAAAGTATGCTGCAAATCGTAATGACAAGTATAGCATCCCAGAGCGATCCCATAAAGCGAGAAATATACTCAAGAAAAGCTAATCAAAATATTCTCATTCCTAGCTAGCTAATAAGAATAATACTAATTTGGAAAGATCAAGTTTTGGGAACATGTATAATTTTGTAGATTTATTTGTATTTATCGAACTGATTCTCATTGTAAAAATATACCTAAATTGTAATTTTTTATCAAAGAAAAAAAGTTTAGCCAATTATTATAAAGGGCTGATATCAATTTAAAATCCATTTTTAAGTATTAAATCCTGATTGTAGGTATATGGCGTAAGGGAGAAATGTCATCCCCCAAAGGACTTATAGCATCCTCTCAACTCAAAATTCAATCTCTCTTCTAAAAGCTATAAATTCCCTAAAGTCATCATGTGCAACTGTCGCTTTGAGACATTAGTGATTAAAGTTAATAAACCATGTGATGTTTGATCTATTTTGGCTTTAATGGACACCGCGAATGCTAGCTTTTCATTGCATCATGTGGAAAGTGCGATTGGGGTGGAAAGCCATAACAATCCCACCTCGCCACATTAAATGCAATCAACAAAATTTTCGGTGAATTTTTATGTGGGAGCCAGTCAACGAAGCGCATTAAATAAACGCCACGAGACGAATCTCGTTTAGTTTAACGCTAACAGTTTTCCACCTAACCAGGCTGCCTCTTCCCCTTGCCAAGTTATCTGCAAAACAAGTTCACCGAAGGGGTTAAGAAAATCAGCTGCAAAATGTTCGTCTTTGTCGCTTGTCTGGCTTATCGCCGACAGCTTCAGTTTGTCTGGGACAGCTCATGAGCTAAATTATTGAAATTTGACAAGTGAACTGGATGGTCGGAGGAGGGGAGAAGTGGAGGGACTGACTGCCGGTCAAGTGGCCTGCTCTCTAATTTAACCAATCCAATTAATTAGCTCTTGACAGGGCGACACTCGAGGTATGAAATTAAAGCCAAGCGATGTAGCAATTGTTGCGCAATTTGTCAAATATCGATTATTGATTAGGGTTTCCTTCGGTTTCTATTATTAGCATCTGGTACTTCATGCCCTGTGCTCCTTTGTAGGGGCTCTGTTATGAGTGAACCCCAGGTCAAAGGTCAATAGGGCGAATATTTGATTAAATGGTCTTGGCAAAAATAAGTGGAAGGCAGAAGTGCTTTAAAAATTCATTATTATAGTTATTTATTATTATTTAAAAATTTCTTGTATTTAAATTTCAGCACCTTTAAATTCTACAATTTTATTGGATTTTACAAGCATAAAGTTTCCTATTTTTATTCACCGCTAGTTTTTCAATCGCTTTAACTGCGACCCAGAGATACAAACTTACTGGCGACTCTGCCACTGGTTAAACACTCATAATGGCCAGCTTAGTGTCGGCTAAAGTCAAGTGGTTGCCCGGTCTGCTGATAGTCTCCATTGCAGATGGGTGCGAGATGCCTCCATGATTCCCCGAAAACTTTAAGCTGACAAATTATTCAAAACAATGTTGTTTGGGGCCAAAGTTGGCAGCCAAAGTGGCTAATGAAAGAGCTGCACATTTTCAATTGTTTGGCTTTCAGGCATTCCGTATCTTTCAGCGCGAAATGAGTTGCCACTTTTTATGGCCAATGCCGTTTTATTGGAGACCCAGAACTATTCGGTGCAGTTAAGGCTAAAAGGAAATAACAGAAGCTGTAACTGAAACTGAAATGCAGACAGGCTCTCATACATATGCAAATGCAGCTGTCTGCGCTCGAATTGCTGGGCTTGTTTGATTGTATGCTGAAGCCTTGTTGTTAAATTGAAACAGAAAATTCCGTGGCCAAAGACAGCCGTTTCGGATTTTGTCGGTCAATTGCAGGAATGCTGGCAGCGAACTGGGATTTTTAAAACTATCTTTCCGATTAAGTACACATTTAAGTTAAAACAGTTTTTAAATCATTTTTAGAAAAAATAAAAAAAAATGTATCTCACTAAGGTTCTACCGAGATTTGAACTCGGATCGCTGGATTCAGAGTCCAAAGTGCTAACCATTACACCATAGAACCAGGTGAAGGCCTCACAAAAAGTTTCACCCCTGAAATCAGGGATGATAAAAAAGCTTTTATGTTATTAAAATCAATGTACAATTTTTATATTTGTTTAATTGGTTTTTCTAAAAATACAGATATATATAAAATATTTTATAACTTTCGAGAGACTTTAATAATTATAATAATAACGTAAAACTAATATATTTTTAGATTAGCAAAAAAATATTTATAAAAATGAAGGGAAAATAAACATTTCCAAATATATTTGTTAAATGAAATGTTTTTGTCAGACACCAATTTTTGAAAGATATAAAAAGACAGAGAGCATTTTCTTAACCTAATTGTAGTTACCTTATAAATTTCTTTGGAGTTTCTTTGTTTGGATTTTTTGGGGGCGTGTCAAGTAAATTATGTGCAGTTCACTTTCGTTTGTCTGACTTTGTTTGTGATCCTGTCTTTGTGCTGGTGTCGCACAATTAAACGGAGCTAATTAGCCCAACACTTGTAATGCTAACCCGACCGTTTTCCCTGTCTAAAGGACCATTCCCATTCCTACCGACAGGACTTGTTGAAATGCCCGGACACGTTCATTGCTTTGCTTACCTCTTGTTTAAATGGGTTTAAGCGTTATTTTTAAATAATCCCCCATTGTACATATGTACGAGTATATCCGTAGGGAAGGCCACCTCCTCGATTCCCTTTCTCCTGCCGACATTATTATCACATCATTTGCATGCGTTTAGTGGGGGTGGCGATGGAGGTAAATAAGTGGAACTTTGTGCAGCTCAGGCGAACGTAATTCGATGCCAACTTTGATGATGACAATCTCATTAACATGACATCGAAATCAGAGCTCGTCGGGTTATGTTGTCGTATAATCGGGAATAAAATCCGAGAGACAGTTCAATGATAGATGCTCGCTTTATGCTTTGAATTAAGGGCCATTTCCAATCGAATTTCCATCGCCAGTTTAATTCTAGATGGAACTGATTTAATTTGTTTTCTACATCACCTAGGGAGCTTTTTCTACATTTGTTACATAAATTACATTACATTTTTCAAAAACCTGTGTAGTTTACCTAAGGTTGAAATCTTTGTTGGGGAATAAAGCTTAAAAAAGCTTTTACAGTCAGTTCGAAAAGTATTCTTAGGACCGTTTTCTCGTCCGCATAAAACATTTATGGTGGGCTTTACATTCTGAGCTTGCATATATTTTCAAGGTTTAAACCGTACTTTAAATTTAACATGAGGAATAGATTAAATTCCAAAAAGTTATTTCTTTTAATATTTTATTATATATTGCGTAGCAACTTAAACATTGTATAATTTTTCATATGGGGGGATCTAAAAACGAGGATTATCACCGACTCGGGAAGTGGGATGACCCACAGGTGAAAGCCCGTACTTGGAGGAGCCACGCGAATTGGTGGACACGCTTTGGATGGCTGATAAGAGAAAACAACCAAATATTTTCGACTAATTTTTCCCATCGCTCTCACAGGGAATGTTTTAAAAATAATTCACAAATATCGCATATTGCGTTAGCGTGTATTTGATAAGGCTGCACTGAACAGCACAATTTTTATATAATCTATATGGAAATACAAGCTGCGGGTAATCGAATGTACGTACATTATAGGGAACTGCAGGGTGGCGATTAGCTTGAAGAGATTTGAGTGCAGATAGTCGGGGACAGGCCATAGACATTTTAATCGGGGAGATCCTAGCGGGCAGTGATTTATACGAACCAGGAGCTATACTATCTAATCGGTTACAGATAACCGTAAATTTCACGGGATAATCAGCGTTGTATTAGAACCGTGACTGAGCTCAATAGAATTCTACCGAAGTTGAACCGTTGGACAGGTGGAACTATGTCCACGGATGTGGCATAAATTTAAAAGGGAATTGCCGCTTCATATATAGCGTTAGTGGCAGCAGTTTAATGGCCTTCCATTGGTCAAGTGTTCCGTGTTTATCAGATCATAAACTGTTTTCCAGCTTGTGTACTTCGATAAGAGTTATAACAACCCCAAAAATGCCACCCCAAAGGCAATGAACAATTGGCAACAGTGCGAATCGATACGTGAATCTCCCTATTGTTTATATAGCCCTCATATTTGCTGACGCGCTAACCGATATCTGCCTTTATTAAACCCTTGAACAATTTACTAAATATTTTGCTAATTTTGTGAATCACCTGCCTATTATAATCTTGCTATTCATGGCATATTTTTCTGACCCCTCTTTGAATCAGCTGTTCTTATTATTTTTAATTAATTTACTTAAACTTATCTTTTTACTTTCCCGGAATGTTACTTATCTTTGCCCCCCATTAAAATAAAAGAGCTTGACTTTGCAGATTTTAAGCATTCCGTATTTGGTTGAACACCTGTTTGGTTGGAAACTTTATTTATAAGAAGCCAATTTGTGATAAAAAGACTTTGTTTGTGACTATTGTGAAAAGGACCTTACAGATACGCAGAATACTTTAAAAATGGTTGCACAGGTAAGGATTATATTTGTTTTATTTTATGAAATCGTGACAGGCCCCCAAGTTCAAACAGCGTCTCAAGGTTAATTAAACATCAGTATATTTCATTATATTATTTAAAGGCGTAATAGTAAAAAATACTTAGATTAGCTTAGGATTTCTAGGGTTATCAGAAAGTTCGTTACAAAAAACTCTATTCATTTGAGGAATTTCTGTGTTACTTACGAACCAGAACTTACATTTATTATGTCAATGAATTTCGTTGAATTGTTTTATTTTTTATGACGGAGCGATTTATCATTGCGACTGAGTCTTAAAAATATAACTGTTACGAATTAAGCAAAACTTTGAAATAATTGTTTTTAAATGTTTTACCATTTATTAAAGTGGCATATTGGAATATCTTGAGGAACCACTATTTTCGTAATGTGACCCCTATATTCCGACGTCCCCAGATCCCAAGTCTAGTTTTATTATATCCACTGGAAGGTTCCCACCCCGCCCCACTGATTAGACCCTATACAGTTATTATTGTCAAAGCAATTG